CTGCTACTGCTGCTGTAATCGCCGTCGTTGTCGTTGTCGTTGTCGTTGCCGTCGTAATTGTAATCGGTCTTGCACTTCTTCTTTTCGTCGTCGCTCTTCGAAAAACAGTGTGTCGTCCTCTTCAATCGTATCGCAATTTCTTCATGAGGTTGAACTCGAGAAAGATCAAACCAAGTGAGAGTCTAATATTTTTTTTTTAGTTCTTTTTCTTTTTTCGTCGGTGAAAGAAAAACACAAAAAAGAGAAAAAGAAACATGATGGTTTGATGATGACTGACTCTGGTGGTGGTGGTGGGTTATGGCTAACGTTGTAGGACTGTCGTCGAATAATCATCATCATCATCATCATTACTGTCATCATCTTCATTATTGTCATCTTCGTCTTCGTTGTTGTTCTTGTTATTACTATTTCTGCTGCTGCTGCTGTTGTTATCGAAAACGAAATGGAGAAAGGAACGAACTCTGCCAGAAAATAGAAGAAGAAACAGAAGAAGAAATCGAGTACGAAAAAATAATTCGCGTGCATTCGTCAGCGTTGTCGTCGTCGTCTTGGAGAAGGAGGAGGAGAAGGACGACGACGACGACGACGACGACGACGAGGACGAGGACGAGGACGAGGACGAGGACAACTCCTCATCGGGAGTACCGCCGGTGCAGTTTATACGCTGTCTCCTCGAGCCGAACTCTACTTTAACTCTAACGCACGCGCGCGCACAAGCGAGAGAACGAACGAACGACGATCGTCAAAAGGGGGGTGGAGAGAGAGAGAGAAAGAGAAAGAGAAAGAGAGAGTAAGAGAGAAACAGACACCAGCCGGCTTTTCTCTCTCCTCCGGTGCCCGAGAGAGAGACGAACCCCGGCCCTCTAGCCCAGTTCCGGGCACGGTCGCTGATCCATCGATAAGGAAGTTTCCTCTTCTCTCAGACACGGATCATCCTCTCGGTGCGTATTCGGCAAACGAGCGGAACGAGAACACCTCTCTCTTTCTCTCTCTCTCTCTCTCTCTCTCTTTCTCTCTCTTTCTCCCTGTCTGTATCTACTTACTCCCTTAGCACGAGATTCCTTGTCGTAAGGCGTCCCGTAGCACGTGAGCACCGGCTTTCTCCCACTACTCTCTTTCTCCTTATTCCTCCCCCCTCTTTCTTTTTCTTTCTCATTTTCTTTGTACCTTTCGTAGGAAGAAGAGAAACTTCTTTTGCAGGTAAACTTTCTTTTCTAGCGCATCCTCCTTTATTTTATTGTCTTCTTTTTATTTCTTATTATTTCAAGTTTTTTTCCCCATGCAAGAACGCATAAACGATCAAATGCGCGCATCTTCGTTTCGATCATCTCTCTTTCCCTTGATTTCTTCGTTTTTTTTCTTCTTGTAGTCTCGGTATTCGCCCTAAGTTTTTTCTTCATCGTATATGCGACATGAAGGAAGGAAGGAATGTTAGGTTAGATCAACACGGTTCATACACTCCAGCAGCTGCATCACCGAAAGGTCCAACAACGCGGAATCCTCTCTCGCTCTCGCTTGCGTTGCCAATGCCTGGCCGCATACTGCGATCTGTGATTCGTCGAGTCGCTTTTCTTAGTGAATCGGATGCGTTCGTGTGATAGGACGGATTTCGAACTCTGCTGCTTCGAGATTCTCTCGCTCTTTCTCTCTCTCTCTCTCTCCTCTCCCGCCTCCCCTTCTCTCTTCCTCTCTCTTCTGTTTCTATCTTATTCGGTCTCTTTCTCTCTACATACGCTCTCTGTTACAGTGGCTCGGCGTCGATACTCGGTAAACATCCCGGTAGCAGTTCCTCCTTTCATCCGTTTTACCTTCTTCGCGAAAAGGCGAACAATTGTTTCAAGATGAGACGCGAATAATTTCTTCTCCTTTGTTCTCTCAGGGCTCTCATTTCGTACGTAAGTATCGTGACACTTTCAAAGCCGGCTTCGAACGTCAATTTTTAATGTGTCTCGATGTCCTTTTCTTTCTCTCTCTCTCTCTCTCTCTCTCATTCTCTTTTAGTATTCCTCTTTTCCTTTTCTTTTTTTTTTATCATTCGCGTATCTCTCTGTTTCTCGTTTTTTTTCTCCTTGTTTTTTTTTTTACGGCGATGATAATAATAGATCTTTATTTTTAATAAAATAGGTACGAACAGAGATGATCGTCCCTTTAACAACTAATGTTATACTTTTTCACACGGGAATCTTCTTATTCTTCTTATCTGTCGTCCCTTGTGTCCAGCATGTCGTGTACATTGACCTTCGTCTTGCTCAAATATCTCCACTGTTCGATGTAATCTGACGAATATCATTGCCGAAGGGGAAGTGTTGGATATTTCAAAATGAAGGCACCAAGCCGGTCGTCTTCGTAGTTGTCGTCGTCTTCGTTGTCGTCGTCGTCGTCGTCGTCGTCGTCGTCATCATCATCGTTCTCTATATTCGCGTTTTAAAAATGCGAGAGGTTCGCTTTAAAATATTCAAATGGCGTAGACGTTGAGTGCGTGTCCTCTATCGATCGTAGGAGTGGTGTATTAACGACGAAGGCACCGAAGTTACACGAAGGATTTATACAATACTCTTTCTCTTCTTTTTTCAAAAATTGTCATCGCGAAAGGGATCATTGCAGTTTAGCGAATTATTGAAACATATTCGAATTTATTTCTTAGCAAATCTAATTATTAACTAAAACTTACAATCCAATTATATCTTACATATTACTTGTTTTAATGAAGATTAGTAGACCGCATGTCACTTCGTACTTGTTTGTACCTTGTATCATCAACTATCATGGAAGAAGGGTATTGAACGAGATTATTTCGATAATCGAACGTCTTCAATTATTTCTCGAAATCGGAGTTGCATCTCGAGTTACAAGACATAGCCCATTCAAAAAAAGAAACATACATGCATGCGAATCTATCTTTTTATCTAACCGAGATGACATCGATGTTAAAACAGTAAATAGTAACAGCAAAAGCAACATAGCAATAGCAATAGTAATAGCAATAGCAATAGCTAGTAAAAGAAATGTCTTTAATTCCGAGTTCTAGAGCATGTGTATACGCGCGATGGTGGCAGAGAGCGTGGAATTCGAACGTGTGCGTTCCGCCTGGCAAACGCGTGACCGCGTCCATGAGGACTTACCATTAATCCGGGTTCTTAACCGCGCGCACGGGAGTAAACGTGGCCGACACGCTGGTCCCCCACAAATCATGATAATAATAAGAATAATAACAATAGTCAGAATAATAAGAATAATAAGAAAAAGAAGAAGAGAGTCGCTGCGTGTAATTTATCGTCTTACCGACGTCATCGGCCGTATGACGTGAATAGTTTTGCCTTCTTACTCCACCTCCTCCTTTCCTCAATTTGTAGGCGCACGTCCGATAAAGAAGAGAATCTGGCTATAACAACAAGAAAGAGAAAGAGAGATAGATAGATCAGTCTCTGCCGTTCGAAAGAGAATTCGGAAGCGAACTTGTGAGTGAAACTGCCCCCTCGTGGTGTTTTGGTTTTATCTGCTTCCCGATCCGCTGTCGACGACGCCGTCGACGCCGTTGACGTCGACGACGACGCCGCAACCACTCCTCCACCATCGAGTCCTTACCTCTCATCCCCTCCCCGTGCAACCCCTACCCCACCCTATCGCCAGAGTTACTTCGTTGCCCCCCGCCTCGTCCCTAGCCTGGTCTCTTCTCTTCTCGTTTCGTCGTCGGTGCCTTCCCTGCTGTTCAGAGAACCCCCACCCATCTCCTCCTCCTCCACCGCTTCTTCCCTTCTTTCCCCCCTTTGCCCTTCCGTCCGTCCGTTCGTCTGTCCTCCCTCGGCCTCCCTCCCTCCCGCCTGCTCTTCTCTTCTCTTCTATGGTCCTCCATTTTGTCGTGATTCCTCTAGCTCCAAGCGTATATCGCACATTTTGCTCGCACGGTGCTATTGACTTTTACGTAGGAATCGTGCGCGAAAGTGTGCCTATGTTTGACATACTGCCGATCCGCACAAACCGAGAGCACGACTATGGGACTCCACCATAGGCTGCCTTGGAAGGTGTCACTCTCTTTTTCTTTCTTTCTCTTTATTTTTTTCTCTCTCTCTCTCTCTCTCTCTCTCTTTCACTCACTCACTCACTCTCTTTCTCACTCACACAAACCATCTATCCGTCTATCTGCTGTCTATCTTTCATTTTCCCTCCCGCTTATCGTTTCTCTCTCTCTCTCCATCACATTTAGTCTCTCCAGTTGGTGGTGTCTCTGTCGCACTTACTCGCTCGCTCGCTCCCCTTCTGTCCAGTGCGCGTGTTCTTTCTCTCTCGCACAATGTCGTTCCTTTACTCCCTCCTCTTTTTCTGCATGATTCTGTCCTTCCAGGTTTATTCCCCTCGGTAAATTGTGTCTTTTAACAACATGCGAATTGCGTTGGCCGCTGTAGACAGTAAGCAGCACGGCAGTGCCAACTACAATACCAAGTGTAACTTTCTTTAATAATACTATTATTTTTCTTCCCTACGTTTATTCTACGCTTGCATTTGATCATCGTCGTCGTCTCTTTCCGGTCGCCGTCCGTTCCTTCCTTCTTTCCTTCCTTCCTTCCTTCCTTCCTTCTTTCCTTCCTTCCTCCCTTTCTTTCTTCCTTCCTTCTTCTGTCTTTCTTTCATTCATTCATTCATTCATTCCTTGCTTTCTTCCTTCCTTCCTTCATTCCTTCCTTCATTCCTTCCTTATTTCAGTTTGACATTAATTTTCGGCCCTTTAATGTCAGACTTTTCCGCATCTTTTACATGATGAAGTGGTGAAACTCGATCAGACACTAGTGCCCTGGTGCTAATCTTCTTTTTATTACATTCCTCGCGTCATCGTTTTGCCGAATTTCTCCGTCCGATTAGTTGGTTCGTGTTATCGTATATATTTACATGTATATATATATATATATATATATAGATATATATATAGATATTTTTGTAAATCATCCTAAATTTTGATCATCCAAAAAAATAGACTTTGATTAATATTCTTTGTTTTATTTCAGATGTCTGCTGGGTCACAAATTCAGATGGCACCCCAATCAACCGTAAACTCTGGTCAGTCGGTTCATAGTCAAGACTCGAACATGAGTACCGGTATGTTTATACTTTTAAAATGATATTTAAAAATATATAGAAAAAAATGTCCTTTAAATCTGTACGCACTAAGAACACTGATTAGTTTACTTCTCATCCATATATGTTTAAATACTTGTCATGTCAGAGTATCTTCTTATTTCTAACAAGAAATAATAACAAGTATTCCAATCCGATAAGACATATTTATATTTATATTACAACGATCTTTTATCTTTTCATAATAAAGTGGTATATATTCAACATCGAATACTAAATTTCACTTTGTATATATGGTTTTTAATTCATTACAGGCTCTTCGCATAGTGATAAGGAGGTAGATCCAAATACTCCAGAAAAAATACCAAGAACTCCTTCTGAAAGGAAAAGAAAGCGTAAAGCTGATGATGGTGGCGGAGGGGTTCCAGGAGGGCCGGTGGGTAGCAAAGGAACCAGGTCTGTTGCAGCTTTAGAGAACAAGAAAATCAACGAATATTTTTCAAAACACCATCTTGGTAATAGTCCCATTCGACACGGAGGAGCAAAAAGTCCTTCTCCTCAGCAGGGATATCCCATGGTGAGTATCCTTTTAAGTGTTATAAATATACCTTTCTTTTTATTCTTCTACTTCTGCCAAAATAACATGGAATAGACATATGTTATCGTTATTTTTGTTTTATTAAACTTAATCATGTATTTTAAATTTTTATTTCAACAGTATCCTCCATCACCGCAACAACCTTTTTCACCTCAAGTAACAACGCCTAACTCCTCGGTGGCAGAATTTTCATCCTTGATGCAACCACCGAGGCCTCATCCGCAACCTCCAACTCTTCCACCACCGTCTTCGACGCAACCTGCAGGCTCAATGGTCAGCAAGCAGGTGCAGGTAAGGCCTACCAACCTCAGTAGGACAAGCCAGGTCAGGCAAGCGAAGACTAACACCCCAAATGTAAGCAAAATTCGGTAATACTTGCGAGCATTTTATAAGAAAAACCCTATTGTTTCTTACAGTGTTTCTCTAATTAAAAATGTTGTTATTGATAAAACACTTTGTTAACACGATATATCTACTTAAGATTTTTTTTAGTGTTCTATTAAATGTACTACAAAGTATAAATATTTAAAATACACAAGTATAGGCAAATTGGCAAAAGCAATTAAATGACCAAATTTATCTTAAGCGATGATCGTGGTGGATGATGGTAGTTTCAAAGAGTAAAATGATTTCGCAATGCTATTGTCATTGTACTCCTATCATTGATTGTATGTATTATTTATATTATCGTGTGCAAAAGTGATATGTAATTATCAAAAGGATATTTCTTGTAAAATGTTCGCAATAATTTGTACGAATTTGTAATCAGACTGTAGCACTGTATCCATTTGTTATCATACAAATGCAGGCTACCTTGTAATGTCGCTCCTTAAACCAATGACAAAAATTCTTATTTTGCATTTAATTGGTCAAAGTTATATCATGTTTAAGAATAATCATTTTTATAGTAAATCTTTTTCAAATAGGGGTGTATGTTTTTTATCTTGGCATTCCTGTACGTTTACATTTTAATAGATCATTTAATTTTTATATGCTTGATTTTTCAACGGGTTTAAATTTGGATATTATATATAAAGAGAGAGAGGGTTATGATTAAATTTATACTTTTTTTTACGGTGATTAGAGTATTTGTCCACTATGTTTAACATACGCATACATTTTAGGTGTTTTCCTTGCTGCCTGTAATTTTTTTTACATTAATATCCCCTTGAGTTTTGTTCTAAAATGATTTATTTTAAATGGATAATTAACATTGATATTTCTTATATTTTATTCGATCTGATTTTGCTAAAATAATTCCTTGAATTTAGCATCTCATTGATGAGAGAGTTCCTAACAATATAAACAAAAGAAATATAGATTTTTTTTATTTTGTTACATGTATTTTACTCAATCTGGGTGCAGCAAGGTATCTGGTGTTTCTAATCAATGCTGACAAATGTATCAGATGTTACAGTTAATTACATTGTATTTACTATAAAATATATCAATTATATATTCCAGACAGAACTAACTTGCCAGAGGATACAGGAATTTGAAACTCAAGCCTCTTCGGACTTAGAACTACGTAATAACAAAATTGATGAATTAAATAGAGTAAGTAGTAAAGTCTATGCATTGCGATATAAACACCAAAGATGATGGTTCTTCTCTCTCTTTTCTTTATTCTAATTATTAATTATTTAAATATTTACACATAATATATATATATATATATATTCTTTGTTTTTTTTTATTATTATTATTTTTACAGACAACAGAAGAACTTAGGCATCAAATGGCTAATCAACAAAAACTTATTGAGCAGCACAAATCCCATATAAATAAGTGTATAGACGTTGTAAAGAAGTTATTAAAAGAAAAATCAAACATAGAAAAAAAAGAGGCTAGGCAAAAGTGTATGCAAAATAGACTAAGGTTGGGACAGTTTGTGACCCAGAGGGTAGGTGCAACGTTTCAAGAAAATTGGACGGATGGTTACGCATTTCAAGAATTAGCTCGAAGACAAGAAGAAATTGCAACTGAGCGGGAAGAAATTGATAGACAGAAAAAATTATTGCTCAAAAAGAGGCCGTCTAATAGTGAAACGAGTAGGAAACGTAGTCAGCCGCAACCTTCCTTGCATAATGGAACTGAAGCTACATTCTTAAAACCAGATGCTGTGCCTGGTTCTTACACGTGGCAAGAGTATTATGAAGCTGATGAAATACTCAAGGTATTCAAATTTATTATCATTTATATTATTGTGTAAATATAAACAATAGTTAATTAAATATATCTGAATAATTTTTATTCTCAGTTGCGGCAAAGTGCGTTGAAGAAAGAAGACGCTGATCTGCAACTAGAAATGGAGAAATTAGAAAGGGAACGAAATTTACACATCAGAGAGTTGAAGCGTATTCATAACGAGGACCAATCGCGATTCAATTCTCATCCTGTATTGAATGAACGTTACCTTTTACTAATGTTATTGGGAAAAGGTGGCTTCAGTGAAGTGCATAAGGTATTAAATATATTCTTTATTATATATATCTTTGTTTAAGAATTTTTCTAATTAACTTTCTTTATTTTATATATTTTATTCACTTTTTAAAACAGGCATTTGACTTAAAAGAGCAACGGTATGTTGCTTGTAAAGTGCATCAATTAAATAAAGACTGGAAAGAAGATAAAAAAGCTAATTACATAAAGTAAGTTAACAATTGAATTATATTAAAAACAAATATTGAGAATGATAGATCTATATATAATTTATTTAATAAATTCGTTATTAAAACAGGCACGCATTACGGGAATACAATATACATAAAGCTCTAGATCACCCTCGTGTTGTAAAATTGTATGATGTGTTTGAAATTGACGCCAATTCCTTTTGTACTGTCTTGGAGTATTGTGATGGACACGATTTAGATTTTTACCTCAAACAGGTATGCAATATTTTCTTAAACTTAACAGTTTTCTTCTTTTAATAAATGAGATTAAGCGAAATTATGTTTTTTTCTTTGGTAGCATAAAACTATACCAGAAAGGGAAGCAAGGTCGATCGTTATGCAAGTAGTATCGGCATTGAAGTACCTCAATGAAATAAAACCACCGGTTATACATTATGATCTAAAGCCAGGTATGTAGAAATTAAAATGATTTTACATGTGTCATATTCAAATATTTCAACAATGTATTTTATGTCTTATCTTTTCTTTTAAAGGTAATATATTACTCACGGAAGGTAATGTCTGTGGAGAAATAAAAATTACAGACTTTGGATTGAGTAAAGTTATGGATGAAGAAAATTACAACCCTGATCATGGTATGGACCTTACATCCCAGGGTGCTGGTACTTATTGGTATGTGTATCTTTCTTCGTTATTTTCTTCTTGGCATTATTAGATTTATTTAATATAAACTTTCTTAATTATAGGTACCTCCCACCAGAATGTTTTGTCATTGGAAAAAACCCTCCTAAAATATCATCAAAAGTTGATGTATGGAGCGTGGGAGTTATATTTTACCAATGCCTTTATGGTAAAAAGGTACTTGATTGATCATTTTTTTTTATAAAATTATTATTGAATAGTAATATTAATAATAAAACGAATTTGTATATTTCATTTTAACAGCCATTTGGACATAACCAATCGCAAGCTACAATTTTAGAAGAAAACACAATATTGAAGGCCACTGAAGTTCAGTTTGCGAATAAACCAACTGTTAGCAACGAAGCAAAAGTAAGAAAAGGTTTATGAATGGAATAATACTTGAACTATTAATTTTCTTATGGTGTATTTAATTGGAATGAAATTGTTCTACAGGGTTTCATAAGAAGCTGCCTAGCGTATAGGAAAGAAGAACGTATAGATGTACTGACACTAGCTAGACATGAATACCTGCAACCTCCTGTGCCAAAACATGGCCGTCAAGCGAATAGTCAGCAACAACAGCAGCAGCAACAGATTCAACAGCAGCAGCAGAGCTCCTTTACTATTGGCATGTTTAGTGGTATGAACGCGTCAAGCAGTTCGTAGTGGAAATGGACTAAAGACGAATATCTTCGATATGCTATTACATGCCAAATCTTGAGCACTGAACTGCGCACCATCTCATCTTAGGAAAATAACGATCGCTATAACCAATTGTAAATACTAAACCGGATACTATCACCATCACTACCACCACCTTCATCACCGTCATCACTATCATTTACCACTACCATCACTACTACTACCATCATTACTACCACCACCACCACTACTACCACCACCACCACCACCACCACCATACCGCCACAACTATACTTACAGGTCGTCTCATAGGACATTGCAAGAGAGATGCGAGACTGGTCGTCGCAAGTCCAGAAGCTTGCGTCTTTCTACAAGCCACGCTACATTATTCAGCATAACAAAAAAAATGTTGTGTTCGTAAATATTCAATTGTATTATCGTTCCTTGTATCAAAACAGTGGGCTGACTTGATAATAGTGTTTAAAAAAAAATGGAAGGAAACAGATAAACATGTGATAAGTCATTGTGAATTAACAAAAAGTGAAGTTTAAACTAAAGAGGAGAGTTAAATAAGCGAAAAAGGGTTATATAAAAGACGATGGGGGAATCCAGTGGAAGTGATATATAATTACTCGGTGAAAAAGAGAAAATAGAAATGAGGAATAAGAGAAGCAGGGGGCAACGAAAGATTTAAACAAAACAAAAAAAAGAAATAATAATAATAATAATAATTAAAGAAAGAATGGAAATATGCAGCAAATCGCGTCGAAAAGAGTTATATAGAGACTTTGCTCTTGCGGAGACGTTCCTCTCTTCTGAAGTTAAGTATGCGTGAATGAGTGTGATGAAAGATTGTTAAATCTAGCGTGCGTGTATATATTTATACTATATATATATATATACTAATAAATCCGATATAATATATATATATGGTGTAAAGAAAAAAAAAGGACAGCATTGACAGTGGGAAGACAACTGTGGTGGCTCTATCCTCGCATGACCTCCGTGCAGCTAAGTATTCCATGAATACTTGACTACACATCATGTTACTTTATTCAAATATTAACATTATTACTTATATCATGACTAATAACAATTAACATACATAAACACGAGGAGATTTGGTTGGTTGTTCCTATTCTGAAACGAGTGGGCTTTACCTATACTGGAACGATTAGTTTGAGAATCGAAAGGAAAGAGAGGCGATGACTCCCAAAGTATAACAAACAAACAAAAAAAGAACAACAAGAAAAAAAATCGTATAGGATCACGGTCCACCACTTGCACCCCCAGCCCTCCCTCCTTTCCACTTTCCGCTCATAAATATATTACATATTTTAAATTCGATGAATTTTTTAAACTCGCGGTTAAAAAAAAGATAGAAAAAAGAAACCAGAAAGAAACGCGTTTTTCCTTTCTATTCGTGGACACACGCATCTTCTCTCTCGAAATAATAAATAAATAAATAAATAAATAAATTATTGCGGCCATTTCTCCGTGCTAAAGAAAAAAAATCAATTCGTATTTATCGGGCATTAAAAAAAATGAAGAAAAAAAAAGTAATAATAATAATAATAATAATAAAAAAATTTGTAAGGTAAGAATCGTAATATTATACCGACCTGATCATTATTTCTTTACTCATAATTTGTTTTATATATGTACGTTATATAGAGATAATTATGAAATAGAAGACTAAGTTATTTTATCAAGTGCCCTTGCTTTGTATTATAGTCGTGTCTGTCGACAAACTGCAGCTTTGGGGAGTAATAGAAAAGAAGTTGTTAAAAAAATGTTGTGTAAGTTGTTGGTACAATGTGGGCACGGTATTGATATGACACAATACCAACGTGATTGGCAAAGTGTGGTCAGAGGAGAATACATTACAAGTCTGAACAGAGTCTGCTACTAGATCCATCGCTTAATATTTTAAAAGCCAATCAATCAACCGTTCCGCTTTCCTTTCTCCCGTACTTCTTCAAAATAACTGATTCCCGTTATTATTAAAGAAAAAAAAGACGCATATTTCTTATCAATTTCTTTTTCTTTCAAACGTGCCACCTTTTAAAAATGGCTTTTCGTTGCAAACTAAATTATATGTAATTGATCTATTTGATTAGATAAATCTAATTAATACTTATTTTTAATCATTATTTATTATGTATTGCTAATGACATTATTTGAAAAAATGTATTCATCATTAATGCACTTCTTATTACGGATTAATAATAAAAGCAAGTATCAAAATTAAATAATGATAAAAACAATGCATTCGTCGAAATATTGAATGGTGTATTATATATTTATTCATTTTTCTCTTAATCGAGAGCATGAGAAAACTTTTTCGAAGAGAAGCCTTTTTAAAGAGATGGCAAAAATATTCGCTTTTTTATTTTCTTTTACGAGTCAAACTAAGCAAGTGGAAATCCTAAATTATTCTTAAAATAAAAAAGAAAAATAAACGAAAATAAAAAGAAGTCAAACATCGTTAGGAAACATTGAGTTTTATAAATTTGATTCCTGGTATAAACTTGTATCGATAAACGAAGATTTAAAGATAAGCGACTTACTTTACACATCTTTTACAAAAGTCACATTAAACGCATTTACTCGAATCAATATATCAGAGATAGCGTTAACATTTTAATGCGGAATGAACAATTTTGCATTTGTAAATAATGAAGAATTTTAATGAAAAAGAAAAAAAAATCAACGGATAGAAAATAAAAAAATTAATGAATGACGCGTGCATCCGTGTAATGGAGAAAAATTATTATATAAAAACAAACTAAAAAAAAAAAAAAAATAAGCATAAAAGATCCAAAACTTTGTTTTTTTACTAATAATTTAAAGTATTCACACACACACACTCACACACTCAAACGAATTAGCAGCGAATATGAATCTTTCTTTTTTGTTGTTTCATGTGGAGTGAACCACAAAATCTTAGCATTAAATTTTTTTAGAACAAAATTAATATATTGTAATTCGAGTACAATCGGGTAAAGTATTATTATTATTATTATCATTATCATTATCATTATCATTATCATCATCATCATCATCATCATCATCGTAAACGAAACACGACAGACAGCCATCGTCGCAATTTAAATAACATCGGTTATTTTTTATCGTCCTTACGTGTTAGTATAAAATAGTCATGATCTTTCTCATAATTACCAACAGGAATTGTGTCGAGGATGGTGTATGAAACGTTATAGCAATAAAATTACGTATTTGTGTATAATTTAAAGTTAGTAAACTTATTGATTACGTACAATACTTGTATATAAGAATATATATATATATATACACCCCATTTTAATGATAAAAAGAAAAAAAGAAAAAACCATACACCTCACATATATATTTTTTAAAATATCGGTATTAATTTAAAAGAAAGTAAAATTATTATCATTATTTTTTTTTAATACAATTAAATATCGATTACTTCAAATTTAAAGATTAAAAATAATTGCACAATATTTATTTATCGTCGATATATTTTAAATTTCTATTTTTGCTATTCGTACGGAATTGTTTAATTTTTCACAATTCATATATCTCGATGTTAAGAGAAAGAAGGAGTATTTTATACAAAGAAATCAATTTCAGCAATAGAAAGACATTTTATACATTAGTGCGATATAACTCAACGAGATATGGAAGAATACAGGCTGTTCATCCGATAATGGGAAGATTCTATATACAAGTAGGTAATGACAATATAATTTTTTTAAATAATAAACATTTTTTTATCAAAGTAAAATTTTAATTTAAAATCAAATATTTGCAAGTCATGTGGAAGTTTGAAAAATCTTTTTTAAAGTAGTGTTGAAAAGATTTTAAATTTTTTGCTTTTTTTACTATAGCAATTTTGTGTGTCAATATGTGACGAAAATAATAAAGATGAAAAAGTATAAAAATGTTCATATATTTTATTACATATAACGGCGCCATTAATATTCTATTTATATATATATATATAAGAGTAATCTTATACAATTAAGTGTCATGTGTGTAAGAACATCAGCAAATAAAATAATTTCTTATCATTTTCCCCAAGGATAATAAAAATTATAAAATACCAATAATTAAAAATAAATTATTCATTATCTATTTAGTTTTGTTTTTCTATATCGTAAATAAATATTACATGCATATGCATAATGAGTTGTGCGCCGTGTTTCTTTCATTTTAATTTGATATTAAATCTAGAATTTTTAATTATTTATATGTGAGTGTGTGTGTGTCTCTATACAACGAGCTCAGAGTATACCATTGTTCTTGCTCTACGCTTAATTAAATGGATAAATGTGCAAAATCATTTTAAAATGATTTTAAACCTGTTGTTCTTTCTTTGTCTTACTTTTATTTTATTCCCAAATGAAATAATAATTATAATTATAATATTAATCACCACTGCATTTTCTATTAGACACTATTTCTTTCTTTTCGAGGATGTAAGAAACCACAAAAATACTAAAAAACCTTGGCTTTCTATACTAACTCAGATATCTATTCCCTTCTTATTTCTTTCTCTCTCTTTCTCTTTCTCTTTCTCTTTCTCTTTCTCTCTCTCTCTCTCTCTCTCTCTCATTCTCTCTCTCTCTCTCTCTCTCTCTCTCTCATTCTCTCTCTCTCCCTCTTTCTCTTTCTTTTTTTTTCTCTCACCTTATTAATTTATATAGGCAGTCTTCGTAATTTACAGTTCTGTTTTGACAAATTTATACCGCGTTAATAGAAATTTAGTCGGAATCACTTTCCTCGTCTGATTTAAGTGCGTAAGAAACTGGTTTACGATTACGTGCACTGTTCTTTCTTGGCGGTACTATAGGCGATGCTTCCGAGGTATTGTCACTTTCAGAGTCTGATTTCTTCCTTCGTTTTTTCTATAAAAAAGTGATATTTAAACATTTAAAAAAATTTTTTAATTATGTTTTAATATCATTCAATAATTTGATAATATAAAAATACTTACGGATTTCACTTTACTCGCTAATATATTATCATCTGTTTCAGAATCAGAAGATTTGAGTTTTTTCTTCAATTGACGCTTAACTGGCTTCGCACCTCCTCCATTTTCTGCCTTTTTCTTTGATGGAACTAAATTGATATTATAATGGAAATAAGAATTAAAAATATATATTATACATTTTTATATAAATAATATTTTTTTTTAAATATGAGTAGTATTGATTGATTACCTTTTTTTGGTAGTGTAAACATTATCAAAGAAGAATCTTCACCGGAAGAAGATATAGGTTTTTGTGATTTGTCTGGAGTATTTCCAACTAAACTATCAAAAAGTTCTTCTGGACTTGCTATAATAATAAAATATTAATGACGCGGTCGATGAGATGATTTTATTATTTATACAATTAAAAATAACATAATTTAAATCAATTAATGTATCAATAAAAAATATATATTCACTTACATTTAGGTGGCGGTGGTTTCTTATCCATTTTAAAATCATCATCCGAATCGCTGAGCGTTATTGCAGATTTTGGCAACTTTTTTCTAAGAAAAGTCATAAAAATTTGATTATTAATACTCTTCTTAGAAAAATTGTCATGTATATATTTTAAATATCATGATATTAAATATCGTTAATTAAATTATTTAATCTATTTTTTATGTTTTGTTTATTCATATCAAAGATAATTTTAAAATTAATACGCATACTCACACTTGTTCAGAATCGGACGACATATTATAAAGATTTTCACTAACAGCATCCGATTCGTCACTGCTAACAGCATAGTTTCTTTTAGCTGCAATTACAACATAAAACCAATTTTAAGATATATATTGAAAAAATTTTTAACTAGTATACAGAAATAAGTCTTTCATACATGCAGCTGCTCTTCGCGGTGAACGCACTGGAGAAATACTATGAAAATCAATTGCGTTACTGTCAAATTCATTACTATCGGAATCAGAATCCTTTTTCTTGGGTTTTTTCAAAGGTTTAAATGACAATGTTGTTTGTTTCGTTCCTAATTATCAAGACAAAAATATTGCATTTAATCTAATCATAATTTTCTGTGATACAGAAGTTATATATAAAAAAAAAAAGAAACAAATTATTTCACCTTTTTTAGCACCTGGTTTTTTCTCAGTTTTAATATTGAGCTTTTCATTGATACCTTTAGTCGAATCTACAAGAATATCATATTCATCTTTCTCTTCGGGTACTTCTTTCTTTATCTATAAAATAATATATTTTGAAAAAAATTCATATAATTTTTTAATAATAATAAATAAAAAATAAACACACACAAGATCCGAAACTAACTTTTGGTTGTCTCTTAATTCCTTCTTTCTTGTCCTTAGATACGATATCTGCTTTTTCTATTTTCTTTTTTAATTCGGTATCGATAACAGGAGTTATTCTACGAGTATCCTCTTGCTTATAAAATTTAGCTGGTGGCTTTTTCATATTTTGACGTGATTTATTTTCTTCTTTTTTTTCTTTCTCTTCGACCTAAAAAAACATCAAATACAGACATAAGAATAATTTTCATCTTATCTAAAAAGATGTTACGATTAAATGATCCAATAAATATATAATTACTTTATTTAATTCAGCCAATAAATTATCCAAATCTTCCCTCCAAAGAGAAATAGGGGTACGAGCTTGCAATCTTTTTAATTCCGCTAATTTTTCATCCCTTTGACGTAAGAGGTCATCTTTTTTTTCCTTCGTTAACGACCACAAAGTCATACCCAAAAGATAATCGAAATTTTCTTTTTGTATTGTAGTCGACGAAGGTGGTGGTTCATCTTCAGTTAATTCTTCAGCAACTACCTCCTCCTAAACATTAGTAACAAATTATTTATATAAAAATGAATATAAATAATATGTATATCAATATAAAAAATCAAAAGATGAAAATAAATAACTTTTTTGTTCCGACTTACTTCATCTTCCTTTTGTAGCAATAAATATATTTCATCAATATAGCTATATGTATTTATATTTTTTTTAAATCCAAGAATACAATTCATTTAATACAATTACTTACCAAGACACCTTCTCTGTTTTGAGTTAACTTCCATGCAACTACAGGATCAGATTCGTAATTACGTCTTATCAATTCAGCTATCATATCCTTTTTCTTTTTATTTTCAATCACCAAAGAACCATCACATTTTTCTAAAATGAAGCGAGCTTGATTTGATAATTTTCCTGATTCTGCTTGCAAGATACCTTCTAAGTAATCTTTCCTTTTGTGATACGCATCCAATCTAATTTTGTAAAAATTCTTTAATATTTGAGTAACGCTATCATATTTCTGAAGACAACGATTTTCATCAAATGCGCACTGTAATTAAAAAATATAAATATATATATATATATATATATTTTTTTTTTCCTATTTGTTAAATATGTTAACACTTTACTGACCGATCGCCTATTAATCGGCTTTTTTTATCACCCACGCTTACCGAACAATCGCTTTTGTTGCATTGTTGTTATCAACATTTTATTAAATCTAATTATCTTATCCTGTAATATCCTGTATATCCTAAGATATCCTGTAATAACAGAAAGCGGAAAATTCTCTTTGAGCATTCGAAACGCACAGATACTCCTGTGCGCTAGTGTAGGCCGAAAAACAGCGGTCGTTAGAGAGTATCTGTTGTTGAGTGGCCGATCAATAAAGTGTTAAAACAAACGTTAATAAATATCTTACCATAGATGTTATCGACATTGTCGATTGCAATTTGAAAGCTTTATGCAGACCATCTCTTTCTAATTCGAGTAACTTATCACGATTTAAAATTACTATAAAATGTACAGTAGTATCCGTGTAATATTCTTTATAATCTCTATTAAAATCAATATATTTGTGTAGTCACTTCATATTAAATATTTTAATTTATATATAAATATATAACTTACGTAATAATTGCAGGTGTTTTCTCGGTACCGTGTAACATAGGTTCTAATACTGTCTCTTTATAAGTTTGTGTCCACATTCCAATTGGAAGTTCTGTAATTTCTACTTTATCTGGTCCTATTATAGAAATTTCTCCACTAAAAATATAACGATAATCCCCAAAACTTTCTATCACACCGGTAAAATTCTTGTAGTATGGTATCTACATTATGTAAAATTATAATTTAAAGATTATTAATAGATTTTAATAATAAATGTATCACATTTTAAAATGTTACCATTGGTTTAGGGTCTCCACCATCCATCATACGATACAAATTTTCTATAATTTCGCGAGGATTATAATTTGGAATTTTGGTCATCCATCCCGTACCGATACCATCCGCACCATTCACCAATAACATTGGTATTACAGGAATGTAGTATACTGGTTCAATTTTTTGATTATCATCATATTCATGTGCAAGAAGTGGATCATCGTGTTTATGAAATATGAATCTTGCTAGTGGACTAAAAAATAAAAATACATATTTGTAATAAAATTATCAATTCTTTTTAAGAATTACTTATCATTTTAAATCTAATTTACAAACCTAAGCATTGTGAAAATGTATCGAGCACTTGCAGCATCTTTTCCTCCTGTAAGTCTCGTACCAAATTGACCAATAGGCTGAAGTACATTAATATTGTTACTTCCGACAAAATTTTGAGCTAAGTTAATGATGGTAGCCATAAGGGACACTTCACCGTGATGATAAGCGGAATGTTCCGCTACCGAACCAGCTAATTGTGCAACTTTAACTTCACGTTTGTCGTTACGTTTCAAACATGTAAAAAGTACTTTTCTTTGACCAGGTTTAAAACCATCTACCATACTGGGTATAGATCTTACGTTATCATAATTACTATACAGTACTAATTCAACATTAATAAAGTCTGAAAAAGATACAGTACGAGTATCTTTTTCATAAAGATAACGTTCACCTAAACCAATTTCTTTTCGTCTCTTTGTTTCGTCCATATGATTCACTAACCACTCCTTACGTTGATCTACACATTTTTTACTAAATGCCATGATTATATTTTGATCATCTTGATCACCGTCATATCGAAATCTAATTCTGTGCCTTGCCATATTTTCAAAGTACTCCTTTGCCTCTTTGGCAGTAGAAGTACCCAAACCTATTTACAGTAATTTTAAATTATATTTATATACGTTGTTTCTTATAATTTGTAAAAACGTAAAAATAAAAACCTTTGTAGTATTTGATTTTATACGTATGAAAATTATCTGTTTCCTTCTTCCACGATTCAAATTCTGGTAACGAAAAGAACGATAGTACTTGATTTCCTTTTGATACTTTCACAATTGGTGTAATGAATTCTTCGATGAAATTTAGTTTTAGTAAAGATGGCCAATTGTGATGAATAAAGTTAATTAAAAGACCCTTAATATGAGAACCATCCTAAACAAACAAAATATGTCATATAAAACTCTGTAAATATATTATCAAAGCCTAATGAACAAATTAGCAGTAGACAAAAAGATATTTATTAACCTGATCCTGATCAGTCATGATCATCATTTTACCATAACGAAGCGTTTTAAGATCATCCCGGGTTTCATACTTTTTTTTATATTGAAGACCAAGAATTTTTATCAAATTATTGATTTCAGCATTTTCTAATATTTGTTTGTGCGTTGCTTCTCTTACATTCAATATTTTACCTGTAATAAATAAATATATATGTGTAAATTATGTACCAGTTAATACAGAGTTTGATGAATTTAAAGAAATATTAAACGTACCACGTAATGGAAATATGCCATACTTATCTCTACCTACAGAAGATATTCCTGATACAGCCATCGTTTTAGCTGAATCTCCCTCAGTTAATATTAGGGTACACTCTAATGATTTATTTGTTCCAGCATCATTAGCATCTTCCAACTTAGGAATACCTAGAAATAATTTGCATGTTAAAGTATTAGTATTCTGTTAAATTTCATTATATTTTAATATCTTATTCGTAATTACGTAATTATAAAATTGACGTAATTTAATGAATAACACCTTGAAGTTTTCTCTGTTTTGATTTAGGTCCCAATTTTTGTAGTTGGCTGTCAGCCTTAAATTTGGCCCATGTTAAGACAGATTCTACGATGCCAGTTTTCATTACCTACAAATAAATCAAATGATTATATAAAAAATTATCGATTTTTTATAAATAAAATCATATGAAAATACTCACGGCTGTGATGAATTTATCGCTTAATACGCATTTAGAACCAAAACTTTTTTGTTGCAAAGTCATGTGTTCCTTAGTCTGCGAATCGAATGAAGGATTATTGATGAGACAATTAATAAAAATCCACAAATGATTTTTGATTTGGAATGGTTTTATGGTGATCCCAGCTTTATTTTTCTTCTTTAATGTTTCTGTTAGTTGTTTAACTATCAAATCTGTAACATGGTCTACGTGTCTGCCTCCCTGTTGATTAATTTAATGTTATAATGCATTTGATTTAATCAAAATAATATAAAAAGAGGAAAAAGATTTAGTAAGTTCAAAAAAATAAATACCTTTGTCGTTGCAATACTATTTACAAATGACATTTGTTGGAAACCTTTGTTGGATAAAGTAACCGCTACTTCCCAACGAGCTCCGCAAGCTTCATAAGCAATTTTTAAAGGGTTACCAGAATCATCTTCCTTTCCTTTAATATAACAGTCAATGTAATCTTTAAAATTCTTTACAGGTACTCTAACTCCATTAAGATAAACTTTCACTCCTCTTGTAGATGCTGCTACGTCGTACGCTCTACGCGACATGAGAGCTACTATGTCTGCATCTAAAGAATCCATTTTGAATTTGGATAAATCTGGAGAAAATGTTACCTTTGTAAAATCTTCCCCGTGAAAATCTTTAATTCGAGGTTCACTGGCTTTTCCCATGTTATCGCCCCATGTCTAAGAACAAATAAATTATTGAAATGTTTTAATCAATATCATTCTAACAGTTATCATATTTGTACCATAATTTTATCAAAATGTTATTTACTTGTTTTAGACTTTTTTTATATTCCTTAGATGCGGTTTCAACAGTGAAACGATGACTAAAAATATTACACAGTTTTGCACCATAGCCATTTCTTCCTCCTGTAACTTTTTCCTCCTCGTCGTCGTAATTTGATGATGTTAATAAATGACCAAAAATCATAGTGGGTACATACATATTCTCTTCCTTATGTATTACAACAGGAATACCTTTTCCGTTATTCCAGACAGATATGGTGTTATTCTCTCTAAAATCCAAAATATATCAATTACTTTTTAAAGTAACTTTGCTAAAAATATAAATTAACCCTCTCGATAAAACTGACGACTATGGACTTCTTACATAAAATGCCATTTATAAGCTACTGCAATCGCTGTACACGAAATTCTACATTCACATGACGAGCAACTACTATTGCAAAACAACTAAGTAGTAAGGTGTGAACTAGCTGCTGACGACTGTTCTCGAGCAATGTTTGCACTTTTGTCGCAGTGTTTCATTCAGTGTCTTGTTAATAGATATTAATTTATTAAATACACTTACGCATCAATATCAATCTTAATAGTATCCATTTTTGGATCACGTTGTTTGTTATCAGCAGCGTTAACCAAAATCTCATCAAATATTTTATACAATCCAGGAACAAATTTAATATCCTTCTGTACCATCATTTCTTTTTCCTTATCGAAAACCCACATAAGTTCTGTGGTACTTTCAACCGATCCGATGTATGTATCTGGACGCAAAAGAATATGCTCCAATTGTGTTTTTTTCTGATAAATACCTTCGATGGTTTTCTTCTTGGCATTACTAGCTTGACCTCCATTTTCGATAGCTGTACTCATTTTTTTAATGTGATATGTTTCTATATATCTGTAAATAGAAGATTAAATAAAACAATAAAAAATTAAATAAGCAAAGGGTTAGTAATTTTACGTAAAAATTATTACTTAGTAACAATAGCACTTATTAATTAACATAAATTTCATATATTCAAGTGCTGCAACAAAAATAACAATTGGTGATAATTAATAATTATTTAATGATTTAATTTTGTGTAATATATAGAAATCTTTAATCCTCAAACGACATTAGATATAAGATCTAATAGAATGATGAAAAATCATTTGATTACAATTCAATATCAAAGTATCATCAAAAGCTAATAGGCAAAAAATATTAATTAACCTTTTTATAGTTTCTTAGACTCGACCAAAAAGATGTATTTACTATATAATTTCCTACCCTAAATAAGTCTTAATAATATGGCGGGAAAACGTCCTCATCTAATTGGCCAAGAATGCAAAGAGACGCCAATTTACAAGCAAACACCTGCTTTTTGAAAACAAAAGGTGGACAGAAAAATACGTAAATTATGACCGGCAGTTATCCATTGGGATTTGTAAGAATTTGAAAAAATGTTATTTTATTATTACTAGTGTATAACACGTATACATATATATATATATATATGTGTGTGTATGTATGGATAAATATATATATCTCACCTTTAGTTCATTTACTTGAGAAATTCGTATCGCGTAGTAACGTTGATAACGGAAAGTAATATAATCACACGATACTATTCATTGTGGTTATAATTAATGATTGGCATAGCACAGGCACTGATATTCATCCGGTACACTCACCCCGATCTAATCCTATTCTATATCTTTTAATATATTTCAATGATATATTTGTGTATGTGAATTAAGAGATATTATTTAAACTAAATGAGGCCCTTAGATTATTTTCTTGTAATAAATTCCAACAAATAGCTACAAATACAATTCTTCTTCGTTGCAATCGTTGCCACCAACTGCCACTTTGGCGCTACTATCGTTTACAGAGTAACATCGTTAAAATATATAAAACCCTGCTAATAACTATTGAAAACAAAAATAATATGGAAAATAAAAATTTATAAATTTATTTGATTAATTTTTCTTTTTAAACAAATGAATAGTAATTATATTGATTTGATAAACAATTCAAATCATTTTAATATATGGCCAATTTCAATCGTTACTTATTTATATTTGTATATATAAATCTAGTATATACATATATACTGGCTAGAAGTAAATAATAAATTCCTTTTTTAACCAATTCTAACTTATAAAAATTATGTTAAATATTATGCATTTTTTCCCTATTTTTACATATTATATATACAATATAACATGCACAATCTACATTATACACATACAATCTTTATATTGTAGAGTACAATAAATAAAATAAACAGCAAGAAAAGGAAACGGTTAAAGAGATTTACTATTTTTTTTCAATAAATGTATTTTTCTTCCTTTTCGCTTACTTAAAACTAAGAATAGCAATAGTGGATTTATAGCAGCAGCAGCAATGAATACAATATTTATAATTATAATATTTATAGTTAACATATCTCCATAAAATTATATTAATAATTATAGTTGTAATCGTCATGATCATTCATTTATATACATGTATATATGAAGAAATATGCATACACGTACGAAAGAGGGCATGCAATTATGCATCCGGGAATAATCATAAGTGTACGCATATATTTCACGATCTAATTTTTCTTTTCCATACGAAATTCTTATGTGTAGGTATGTATTAATTTAACTCGCGTAATCTTCCATCCTGAATATTTCAAGATTGCGACTTAAAATCTAATTTTTCTTTTCTTTTTTCTTCTTTTCTTCTTTCATGATTTTGAACGAGGAAGTGATCGCCTGTATCTTTTGTTGCATGGTTTTCATAGCTGTATATATATAACGTAATTGTGTTTTATAAACCACTACTATACTCTCTTTTTCATTAGACATACGTTTATATGCAAGATTGTTATAAGTGTGGTACAAAAAATAAGAATGCTTCACCTTCTGTTTAAATATCCTAATAGAAAATTTACAATATAACTTAGCATACATCTTACGTTTACAAAACTAAAAATCAATGAGAAAAAATTTAACATACAAGAATTGAAATATTTATCAAAAGAATTTGTATGTTATTTGATTTGTAGGAAAGAACTTACAAAAAATGTTTTATCCATGAAACGATAAGCACCACAGAGAAATCTATAATATAAACAACATTTAATTTATTTAATTCATATATATATATATATATATGAATAAAAAATATATAAAAATAGACCAATAATTTAATTTAGTCGTTTAATAAAATAAACAAACAAATTGGTGATTAAATTACAATCTGTGATTTTTCTCTTAATTATACAATTTTTGAAATGCTTGAAAACACACGCATTGCAAGAACAGAACATTTTTAAAGGATTAACGAAATAGATGAAAATAAAAACGCATCGTAGGAGGTATATTAAACTAGCGGAATCCAATTTTTGGGTCATTTATAAAAAGAATTGCCTGGTAAAACGCACTAGCCTTTTTTAGACAGAGGGGCCATGAGATGTTGCGATAAATATTGTGATGTAGTTGTTAAAATAAAACCTTTTCTTTTTCTTTTGACATTAATTATTGCATATATTGCGACTAAAAGTTACAATTACAATTGAGGAAAGAAAAAAAAAGAAACTGTAAAACTACTTAATTCATTGATCATTAAATAGAAACGCTATCACATTCTTTGTATCCCAAATTTCAATGTAAGGATCGTACGTGCAACATGAGTATTGATATTTCTATTATTCCTTGATGTATCAATAATACTAAATTTTTATTCTTTAAACGAGAAGCCGCAAATGGTCGATATTCTTAAAAGCTACTCACAAAACTTCGCTACTTGGCAAGGCTCCTCTCTAAATGCGATAGTTCTTAATATTATTAGTGGGCAATCTTTAGCGAGATTTAAAAAATCTGACGCAACCTGTATTCCCGATCTATACGTCAACCTCCTCGCGCAATAACGACTTTTTATTATGTGAAAACTTCATAGTATCATCCTGACAAAGGACATCAACAATGAATCATTAGAGGATGCAGATATATAGGACAGCCCATACGTTTCGCCATGACCAATAAGAAAGAGAGCATTATTATGTTTAAAAATACTATAGAGTGTACCATTCAATAGGTCAAATAGGAGTAAAGATAAAAGATCCATCTTAAGAGTCGAATACGTAATATGCGTGATATACAATCACAACGTATATTCTTTACTTGATTCTTTTTCGTTCTTTTGTTTTTTTTCTTTTCTTTTAATAGGAAGTCAGATAAATATTTCTCGGTGTGCTTATTATTCATTCTGCATTTTTAAATGTCTAAAAAAAGATATTTCATTTAGAATTTATTCTATATAAAATATATCCATCTCAAATCTTTATTGCTTTACTCAATAAGTTTAATAAAACATCTTAAAATTACTGATGAGATTAATGAATATGTAAGATATGAAAACCGAGATATATGTTCCCAGACTTCTCAAAAGCTGATCAAAATCATTGTAAAACTTGTGAATATTGTGTTTATATTCCAATACATGAACGTACGACCTGACCTCTGCATCCATATGCTTATATATGAATTTTTGTCGATCCACGACCTAGCATGCACAAGAATCCCCTTTACCGTTATTTCTTTGGTCATTGGTCAGTTTAATTTGGTCTGGGAACTCGTTATAAAGTTCAACCTAAAAGTCAAATAATTAACGATAGTTAACAACAAATCAATTTATAAATGATATCGCAATGATACTGATTTATTTACGACATACCTCACTTTCTTGAGCTAGAGCATTTTTAGCTATCGTTTGGAATGCCTGTTCCACATTAATAGCCTCTTTTGCACTAGTTTCGAAATATGGAATATTGTTCTTGGATTGACACCACTGTTGTGCTCTCTTACTCGATACCTTATACAAAATAAAAACATATATTATAATAGAATTCCTAACCAACATTCAAAAATTGTTTCGTTAAACTTACCGACTTAGATTCTAGATCAACTTTATTTCCCAGAACAACGAATGGAAAGTTATCCGGATCCCGTGGAGATGCTTGGATCAAAAATTCGTCTCTCCATGACTCTAAAGATTTGAAACTTGTTGGTGCGGAAACATCGAATACCAATACACAACAGTCGGCGCCTCTATAGAATGCAACTCCTAAAGATTGAAATCTTTCTTGACCTGCTGTATCCCAAATCTGTGATTGTCGAAATGAAAATACAATTCATTATTAAACTATAATGATTATTTTAATTAACTCTTGTACTATAACAAAGTGAGACTCGTGATACACTTCACAACCCAAACATGAAAAAGCAAAAAATACTGCACAGACTTTAGCACACAGCTGCGCTTATTAAATTATAGTGCAAGAGATTAATGGTTATTATAAAGTAGTATAATTACCTGCATAGTAACTACCCTATCATCGACCATAACTTCTTTGGTAAGAAAATCTGCTCCTATAGTAGCTTTGTACTGATTACTAAACTTTTTATTAACATACTGATTCATCAACGACGTTTTGCCTACTCCAGAATCTCCCAGAATAATAACTTTTAAAAGTACTTTCTTGCGGGATGACATAATGACTGAAAGAAAACGAAGAGCAAAAGTTTTAATTTTCAATTATTGTGTGGTAATATTAATTAATAAAAAAAAAAGGAAGAAAAAACCCAAAAAATTTAATTTAATCAAATGTAAAATGATACATGATAAAAGTAGGAAAATAGTAATATAGGAAATTTCCTATAGGAAAAGATATAAAAAAATTATCTACATTGAATCACAATATAAATGTCAGTAATGTAATTATCATATTCGATTAAAAAACTTATGTAAAAAAAAATTTCTCAACAATAATACTTAGTAATGTCAATAAAATTACAAGAAAAAACCCTCTCTCCACGCACTAAAAGTTTAAAACAATTAAGAAAATATATGATAAATCATATAATGAATCCGTATTGTTTTAAAAAAATGAATCATCTAACATATAATGAAAAGTAACTTCTATCGTAATGACGTATGTATGTATGTTTCTAAATGTTAGAAGAAAAAAAAGAAGAAGAAAGGAAATATATTATTTGCTATATGAGCAAAAAAATAAATATTATACTTTGACAACTAACAGCAAACTGGTAATCCCGTTAATAAGAAAAATAGGATATCGCTAAGGGAGAATAGAAAGAACCTAACAGGATGTAAAATAGAATTTACATGTAGATGTAAAATAGAATCCGTTTAACTGTGATAGTTGAAAACCTGTCAACACACTAGCAGGGCAATTAGAATTTTGCGCGGTAATTTGAGGATCTTCTCAAAGTAAAGATACGCGATGTCCATCGACGGACGAAATCATCCAGTGGTAGATCGACAAATTCTCCAACTTAGATGATATTACCTCGAATTTAACAGAAAACAGGACGCGTATTCCTTCTGGTCCTAACACTTCACACAAAGAAAATGGCGTGTTATGAAATCACGAGTATGACAACGATGTCGTCACCTGTTCGTTGAAGTTCTCTTATCGACTGAGCCAGTCGATTCTAATTCTCGAACGTCACTCACTACGAGATATCGAACTGTCTCTCTGTTCCCCACCTTAACTTGACACAGTGCTGCCACCTTCAGTACAAAACAATTATCTCATTTCATTTCGATATAATTAATATCTATATATATATATATATATATATATATATACATATATATAAATCTCGCAAGATATTTTTCTATTTCTTGATCTTATACGTTTAAATATACCAGCTTTAGAGTAGAAAGGTTAACGAGAGTATATCTATTACGGTTTACGACGGAAATGAATAGATCTTCGCCATCTTTCTTATTTGATTTTTGTACGCGCCAAATTTAAACGATGGATAGTTTATATTGATTAGACGTACCAACTTTTTAAAAAATATCACTCTTTTACTATTCTTATTCGATCGTTTATATTAATATATGCTTAATTCTCAAGTACTTTCGAATATTACTATTCAGATATATGATGCAAATGCAAATCTATTTTGTATATTATTAAAAAAGTATATCTATGACAGGAATAAGGAAAAAGTGACGTACTAAGATGGCGAAAGTCTAACTTCCGTCATTTGTAAGGTAATTTAAGTAAGTAAGTAAGCAAGAGAAAGTATGTATGTATGTATGTATATCTAAAAAGAATCTGACAATAGAATCTCTCTTTTCCTCCTTAATCTTTTTACTCTAAGGATTGAAAGGTACGCCTTCTCTTGTGCTGCCTCTTTATCGTAGATCTCTCATTTCAGATTTCAAGGTGCATGCATCTGTAAATCGTAAAGCGTGATACACATTGAATGATTAAGGCTGTATTAAATGTAAACTTGGATGACCACTTGAAACTTTAAAGAAATATATATTATACTAGAGATTGTGTGTGTGTGTGTCTTCGGTTCAAGTGATCATCATAGTTTAAGCATACTGTGAAATTAGAAGCATTTCTTAACTTGGTGTTCGCCTTCAAAAAGGTTCTCTTTTGCGGCTAACGTCAATGTTAATAAAACTGTATTCATTCGTTCTCTTATTTTTCCATTTGTGAAAAATGACATCGTAAAATATTATTATTATAATATTATCATCAGTGGGAATAAAATAATTCTATACCGTTAGTGTCTCCCATCCGTCGTCGCGTTTACAAATACCGTTGAAGATTTTGTCTAATAGTATCATCAAATCGTTATACTTTCATGCAATGTTAGTAGTTTGCCGCTTTGCGCTCAAGACGTATTACGTTATTTTTTTAGTAGACGGCATACCAATGTTGTGATTATCGCATTTTGTGATAAAAATTAACGACGATTAACCACTCCGAGTAATACCATCGCATCATGTTCTGGACTAATAATTACGTATCGTCGCCTCATATTGAAGCGTTGCTTAACAAAGAGGTGGGTGTTAGATTTATTTGGTGTTATGTTATGGTTTCAATGATTTTTCTAACCGTGACTATTTTTTTTGCTGCGATTGTCACTATTTGCAGAATGTTACGTTGCACGAATTAATGGATGAAGAGGACATCTTACAAGAATGTAAGAGTCAAAACAAAAAGTTAATCGAATAGTAAGTCTATTTAAATCTTTTCTTTTTTTTATTCATTGCACCGGATAGGATTTAATTAGTTTATGTATTAATACATTATCTCTTTTATTCGTAGCCTTGTAAGGCCTGATGTAATGGAAGAATTAGTAATGCTTACAACTATGGAACCATCTATCGATATTGAAGAACGTTTGCGTTACAAATATCCTAATGTTGCATGTGAATTACTTACTTGCGATGTGCCAACGCTTAATGAGAAATTAGCAGGTATTTTAGAATAAACCTATACAATGAGTCTTATTATTCAAAAGACAACATATAAATTATACCAAAGTATAACGAAATATATAATTTTAGGTGACAAAACACTTCTGAACAAATTATATGCTTTTATAGACACCGATCAACCGTTAAATCCCTTGTTAGCATCGTTTTTCAGTAAAACAATTGGTGTACTTGTTGCTCGTAAGAGTGATCAGGTAATTATAAATTTTAAAACAGAATTTGTTTCTATAATTAATTATTAATCTTTGAAGATATTTTGACAAATAGATCTTGGCATAGAACATGGCAAATTAATAACGATTTTCATTTTTTTCTTATCCTCTTTCTGCCTATCCTTTCTTATCCTTGCTATCAGAACTGGTATTCCTATCAGTTCACATGTTTACAGGTTATAGAATTTCTTCAAGGCCAACAAAATTGTGTAGACTTACTCTTACAACATTTAGAGACTTCCGCTATTATGGACTTAATATTAAAACTAGTAACGCAAGTTGAAGGAGGTCACCTGCGACAAAATATATTAAATGTAAGAAGTCATTTTGTCTTTATTATCTAAAGGTTTTATTATATTGTTGTTAAATATTAAATAAATATTTATTCCTTTTTTGTTAACAAGTGGTTAGATAGTCAACAGTTAGTACAAAGGTTGATTAAATTATTGTCTCCTACGTCGGAGCCAACAAAACACGCAAATGCTTCTCAATTACTTTGTGACATGGTAATCGTAGCAAGAGAAAATCAACGTACGTCAACAGAGCAAATAAAACCAGGTCCTATTTTAAATACTTTAAAGTCGTAAGTACATTTAATACAGACATCATTTTTATATTTGACATATTTAATTTCCAAATTAATATTATATTATAATTATGTTATTTCAAATGTTGTGTTTTTTTCAGAGAAGAAACTGTAAGTTTATTATTAGAGACAATCTTGACAAATGAAAAATCAGAAAGCAGTATTGTGGGTGGGATTCAAGTGCTTCTTACCCTTCTGGGTCAAAAAGTAAACACGTATGTATGCATATAATTTTTGTACATTTATTTATTGGTATTTTATATCTTTCTATATAAAAATTTGTCTCGTATGTATACATAGTGCCTTAAATGAAGTCGACGTTCATGGAAATGGTTCCAGCGAAGACATGACAGATGATAACGAACAATGTATTAACATTTCTAACGCTACTATACCCTACTTGGAACAACTTCATAAACTTCTTTTAGATCCACCAGTTGTAAGTATCACCCTAATAAGTATTCCTTAATATTTAATATGCAATTCTTACTCATATAATGTAAATGTATAGTAATAGATATTTATTTGTATTATAGAAAGCTCCTGTAAAAACAACAGCTGGAATTTTAGATTGTCCATTGGGCAAAACACGCTTGCATGTCGCAAGATTATTAATGGCCTTGTTATCAACCGAAAATATAAAAATTCATGAAGCATTGGCAGATTTAGGAACATTCCAAACTTTATTGGTTAGTATCAATACTATATAAATTTATTATCATAATGTTGAATTTATTCATTTTCAAATTGAATCATATACTATTGTATTATTTATATTATTTACAGGATCTATTTTTTAAATACACATGGAACAATTTCTTACACACACAAGTACAACAATGCCTAGCTTTAGCTATTAATTGTGATTATCAAGATAATAATAATATTTATAGCAATGTAGGTAATATGTCTCTGACAGTGTCAATATTTATTTTCTCTCTATTTTGATAACAAATATTTTTATCTATCAAACTATTTTGTTTTTTTAGATATTTGTTAAATGCAGATTGATAGAACGTATTTTGGAAGCTTGGGAAAAGAATGAGAATAAACAGTAAGTTTTTAAATGAAAATTATAATCCATGTAAAAAAAATGTAAATGTGATTAAATGGCAATTAAATAATGAATTTTAATGTTGTTAATTACAGGAACAAAGAAAATGGTGTTAGGCAAGGATACATGGGTCACTTAATAAATATAGCGAATAATATTGTACTACAATGTGAAAAAAATAATGCGCTTGATACTTTTGTGAAAACAAATTTATCAACCGAATGTCTTAATAAGTGGGAAATACTTGTGAATACGAAACTAGTGGAAATCAACAAAACACGTGCAATCTTCTTGGTAATCATATTACTGATATCTTATTTAAATGTTTGTCTGAAAAAAAATAATTGTAGTTATTATATTATTATGTATAATATTTAGATTAGACCAACAGCTAATATGGCCAACTCTGAAGATACTCCGGATCGCTACTATTTGAAAGAGGTATGGAAGATATCTATGATATATTTTTAAATGTACACATGAGTGTGTATAGGATATATGGTAATATAAATAACTTTTAACTATACTGTACGGTATTTGTTAATGTTAGATGTACACCGACTATCAGGGTCAACAAATGACATCCACTTTTATTGATAATTTCGGATTTCGTGATAACCAATTTGATGCTGGGGATGATTCACTTCAGTAAGTATATCAAATTATATTTCTACCTAAGTAATGTAAGTTAGCAGTAAATTTCTATGGGAGCGTTAAATTATAATAACACAAAGAGAATGTAACACTGCAAACAACAGTATTGCATTTACTCTTAGTAAATGTTTAGAAAAAAAAAAACACTATTATAGTAGCTCCGCTGATGAAATAACAGCGTTGGCCTTTAAAAGGATTAATCTCGCCGACGAAGAAATGGATCCAAGAGCAGATCTATTTGATAAGGTATAGATTAGATCATTTATTCTGATTCGTTATTTATTCGTATTACTTCATTATTTTAAATTTAATTTTAAATTTAGATCTGTCAGCAAAAACAAAAAGCAGGGCTTGAGGAATGTGGTGGTGGAGCTGAATGGGCCGATGAAGGTGACTTGACTTTCCAGACAGTAGTAGACAAACGAGATTGGCACTCAAAACAACATCATGGATCTAGTTCATCCGATGAAGACGATGAAGATCCTCGAGATATGCCCATGGAAATTGATACTTCAGATGGTAAAATTTTATTTGAAATATATTTTCTTAATAATATATTTAAATAAATATTTTAATTATGCATTAAATTACAGTTTGGAATTTTCCAGAACCAATTCCAGCTAATACAACAATTCCCGAGGTAAACCCATGGGATGTTGTACCATCAGAACCTCTTGAATCTACTGGCTGGGCAAACTTTGATAATTTTGAAAGTACTTTAAGCATAGAAAATAATATTGCGGTAGATAATAAAACTTGCGAAACAGTTACAAAAGACATTGTTGATGCAGCAACAAGTTTGATCGAGAAGGAGACAGCACTGGAAAACAAATCTGTGGAAAATATTGGAGGTGGTGATTCTATAACTGTAGATTTGGTTGATAGTACATCCCATTTGTCAACAGAAGCCAATCAAAACAGTAAAGCTAGTGATGATAGTATATATTCTGTATGTACCTCTGACAAGAATGCCAATCCAAGTGAAAGGTATTTATTAACTTATAAAGAAATTAAAATCATTTTATAATCAATCTAAAATATTGGATAATATCCAAATTATCATTATCTTTATTTAGGACACCTGAAACCAGAGAGGACAGTAAGAATGAGTATGTGAAAAATTCGATCGAAAATGATAAAACATTAACTGAAAACAAAATTGTTTGCGCTGTACAAAGTACACCATCAGATACAACGTTAATGTCTAAGGATGCCAAATGAAATGTTAAGATTTATTAAAAAAATATGGCAATAGGAAAAGAAAATCATATCAGTATGAATTATGTACGGATGTCTAGAACATCTTGTGTCTTTATTTTCATTAGATCACATGAATTATACTTTACAGCATTGGCGCTGGGCACTAATTACGGCAGGGTATTGATGCGGTTTGAATAATGGACTTTTCAACGCTCAATTACATTTATCAAATCTTTTGATGTTAATAAATATGTTCCCAGATTGCCAATGTACAAGTCAACTTTTGCAAGTGGAATGTCCTAAGTTTTTTTTTTACATAAGGACTACTAACAAACTTTCGAAAATTGTTATTTATACGTATTCGATATAAATGCAAGTAGTTGAAAGGATATATTCAACTAATGCAGGTTTATCTTGTATTGTTTGACATTTGCATGCTGAGATAGACGAAATATATAATTGTACAAAAAAGAGCTAACCAAATTGAGGACATTTGTGCCTTTACTTGGTTTACTCGATATCTGTTTTCACAGAACAAGTATTATGTAGCATTATGGACTATAATGTTTTAAGTAACTTGGATATGAGGCTCTTTATGGAAAGTCATTGTAACGATATATTTCACAACAGGTGCTTTAGCTTCTACATTCAACAAGGCAAAGGTACTTAGATGCAGTGCCTACTTTTTGCTTGAGTGTATGCCCATGCAACGATGCGATGTAAAAAAAGAAAGAAAAAAAAAGTAAACAAAAACGGAAAAAATCATGTATTTTTATTACGTTCACGATAATATTGAGTCAAAATTTATACGATATAATAATATAGACAAAGTTTTCGATCGATCTGTTCTTATTTGCATTCCAATACAAAATTTCTATATAAGATTAATAATAATAATAGTTATTCAACATGATCTTCCAAAAAAATAGTATTAAAAAAACAAGCAGAATTCAATTTAAAAAAAGATAAGTTTTTGATCCATTTAAATTGTAATAATTTCTTAAAACAAAGAGTTCTGTGAAATGTTTCTTGTGCAACACAACACTCTTCTGCCTTACAAGTGTCACTATAGAAATGTGTTTATAGCACTGTACACGAGATTCTGTACATAATTAATTAATAAATGAAAAGCATTGTTCGAAGTTCCACAAGTAGTATTTGCAGATTCCTTATATTTTTTTTCCTCATATTTTAAGGAAATATATTTTCTTTTTTTTACAATAAATATTTTTCATTTTCATATAAAATGTAAAGTAAAAATTCTTACCTATACCATGATATGTAATGAGATATTTACAATGTATTGAAATCAACTTGCAAAGTATTCCAATATTTAAAAATTTTATTACATGTGTAAATCATACAATTTTAGAAATATTTCTCTTGTAAAAACATGCTGACCATTTTCATACTGATATATGATATACAAATATAAATAAATACGTGTCCATATTCTTGCTTACATATTTTATATATTACTGTTGGAATTTTATTATTCTTGCTTTGAAAACAAGACCAAAAAAAGAAATGCAATATTTAAATTATTTACTTTTTCTTTATATAAAAAGTTTTTTTACTTAATATCTTTTTACGAAAATTTATCTTCTATCCCTATTTAAAGTTTTATAGATTTTTTTAATTTACTTTCCGCTTTTTTTTTTCTTTTCTCTATTATTTCTAATATATGATCCAACGTTGATTTATTCTGAAAAAAACCAATTATATATTTTAAATAAATTCAAGTTTATCTAATAGTAGAATATATAATTAATTTATTATTACATACCTTTACCGATAAGAATAGAGAATGTTTTGAATTAAGTTCTTCTTGAATACTATATATATTTTTAACATAATTTTCTTTCAAATGTATCGACACATTCCATATCCTGCTAGCTCCTTTAATCAAATTTATATTCTTTGTATAAAATTCATGGTCTTCTAAATTATCCACGACAATGTGAACTAAAAGCACAGATATTTAAAAGAAAAAATTCAATTTTATTAGATTAATATAATTATACCTTCTGGTTCTAACTTTTTACTAATATTAGCTGTAAAACTTCGAATTTCAGTTATTAGATCTAGTACGTTCTTCATTCTTTTATCCAACGATTCGTTTCGTAGATCTTTAAACTGTAGACATACAAATATTTCATATCATTCAAAAATATTAAAAATAAAAAAAGTTAAAGGATAAAATTTACTTCGTCTGCTGTAGGATAAGGTGCTTCCGATAACGAAGACAATGATAAAAAGGATGGTAATTTTTTAGAAAGTCTTGAATACAATTCATCGGTTAGAAATGGTGTGATAGGAGTAAGAACTCGTAAGGATACTTCTAAACATTTGATTAATGTGTATATATGGCTTGTAATTATGAGCTCTTCTCCACTCTTAAAACCCCATTTGGTTGCTTCCTATTGAAATTTTATTATTATTTACTAATTCTTTATATTATTTTATAATAACAAATAATTTGCTGAGAAAAGTTAAGTTTACCAAGTAAATGTCACAAAATTCATAATAGATAAATTGTTTTATTACAGCAACTGCCTTATAAAAGTTTCGTTCTGTAAATGCTGTATTAACTTCGTTCACCATTAATGATAATCGACTTAAAATCCAAGAATCTAAAGTTGTAAACATTTCAGGTTTATGATACTTATCTGAAGATATTGTTAGCAATACATATTTGCTCGCTTGCCAAATTTTGTTACAAAAGAAATAATTTTGTTGACATTCGATAATATTGAAGGAGACAGTACGATCTATTAAAATATTTCAATTAAATTATCAATCATTTAAAGTAAAGTAATGTAAGTGTATTTAAATTATAAACCATTTACTTTTAATATTGTGCGCACATAATGTCATACGTAATGCATCAACTCCGTAAGTTGATATTCCATTTGGAAACATTTTACCATTAACAATTAGAGTTCGTTTAAGTTCATTTTTATTAAGAATACCAGCTTTATAACTTTCATTTGCTTTTGCATTGAGATCCTAAAAATATAAGAAATCTTATATAATTAATTACTAATACGTATAGTAAAAAATATATGTGATTATATTTTATTATTATATTATAAGCTAATAAAAAAAATTTCAATATATACCTGCAAAGATGTACCATTAATAATACTTTCAGGAGAGATAACATTTCCAAAACTCTTAGATATTTTCTTTCCTTGAGCATCGCATAGAATACCATGAAGTAAAACTTCCTATAAAGAAGAATCATTTTATTTTTAAACAAATGCATGATCATTTATATAGAATTTACATTTTTTAAAATATAAAATTACTTTAAAAGGTAGTTGTCCAGTTAATTCTAATCCTAACATCACCATTCGTGCAACCCAAAAGAAAAGAATATCATGTCCAGTTTCCATTAGTGTTAGAGGATAATACTTTTGAAAATCTTCCATCTGAAATATTTATTTATTATTAATATTATAATATTATTTTTTCATTAATTATAATTATGTAATAAATAATTACTTTTCGTAGCCAACCCATAGTAGTAAGAGGAAGGAGCGCAGAAGAAAACCATGTATCTAGAACATCATTATCTTGACGTACTTCAACGTTTGAACCATATTTCTTGTGTGCAATAAACAATGCATCTTCTTTAGAACGTGCAATTATCCATTCAGATGTTTCGTCATTTTTAATTTCATATGCTGGAATTTGATGACCCCACCATAGTTGTCTTGAAATGCACCAATCCCTAATAGTATGATGTTATTCATTTTTAATTTGTAATAATTAATGAATCTTAAATATGTTTCAATCATTCAATTTGTTTAAATTACATAATTTACCTAATATTTTCTAGCCAATTATACCACAATGGTTCGTAAATAGTAGGATCAATTTTTAAAGATCCATCTTTTACAACTTGTAATGCTTTTTCAGCCATATCTTTACATCTAATAAACCACTGTTCTTTTAATAAATATTCAATAATATCACCAGATCTTGAACATCTAGGTAAAATCATTTTGTGACTTTCTATACCTCTTAAAAGGCCTTTATTGGCTAATTCATTTAACATTTTATCACGTGCCAGAAATTTTGGAAGACCCTTTTACGTATTAAATTTACACGTATTACCGATTATATATTAAAATAAGAATAAAATAAAGATTTTGTTGAATACCTTATAATTATTATTATTTGTTATTATATTTCCATGTTCATCTATAGTATCAATAATCCTTAAACCATGTTTCTTCGCAATTTTGTAGTCTAGACGATCATGCGCCGGAGTAATTTTGACTACACCTGACGATTACATTTTCTGATGTAATAAGTTTTTTAAAATTAAATATTAGTAATATATTTTATAATATATAAATTTAAATTATATATAAATAATATTTAGTTGAAGAAAAAGAAATCCATTATTTTTACGTTTATTTCAAGATAAAAATAGTGGATTTCTTTGTTCCCAACCTAATTAAAATAATAAATGTTTGATATTACTGAATTGCCTACCAGTCCCAAACGTTCTGTTAACAGAAGTATCTCCGATTATAGGTATAAAAGTTTCTCTCAGATCATGCCAAACATATTGACTAATATATTTATTATATCTATTATCTTCTGGATGAACAGCTATAGCTACATCTCCTAATAGAGTTTCTGGCCTAGTTGTTGCAATAATTAGTTCATTATCTACGAAAATAAAAAATAAGGATAATTAATGATAAGTTAGAAAATAACGAAATAAAATGTAACTCAAATACCTGAATCTTTAATTTGAAATGCTATTTTACTTAATTGTCCAAATTTTACTTTTTTTTTATAACCCGGAACTTCTAGTTCTGTTGTTCCTGTTAGTTCTATAGATTCAACTTCGATATCGGATATAGCACTTTGTAAAGATGAAGACCAATTAATTAAATCTTTATCTCTATATAACATATTTTTGTCATTTAATTTAATTAATGCTTCGGTTACTACAAAATTATGATTCTATAATTATAATAAAAACATCACTTTACATCAACTAACATAATTAAAAATAAAGTGCTCGAATAATTCACTACCTTACTCATCGTAAAATATTCTTTGGACCAATCAACACTAGTTCCTAATAACCTTAGCTGATCTTTTATTACACTTTCTTTTTCATTTTTCCATTCCCAAATGAAAGAAAGAAATTCTTTTTTTCCAATATCCATCTTTGTACAACCTTTAGTTTTGTAAAGATATTTTTCTACTACAGCTTGCGTTGCAATTCCTGCATGGTCTAATCCGGGTATCCATATTACAGGGTGGCCCTTCATTCTATACCTATTCAATAATAAAATATAAATTGAATATTAATATAAGTAACTCTAATTAAAATATCAACAAATTGTAGGATAATTAAATTTTAGATACCATCTCGCTAAAACATCCTGTATGGTTGCGGTCAATGCATGTCCTATGTGTAATGTACCTGTTACATTGGGAGGTGGTAATATCATTTTAAATGGATCTTTATTACTACTTTGTAAATTGAAAAAATTGTTCTTCTCCCATAACTGATACCACTTAAGTACATCTTTTGATGGAAACGATTTTGGAAAATCTACAGGAAATAATAATATACTACTTTAATTTATTACATTTCTACATATACTATAAAAATATTTAAAAATAATGTAATACCATTCAGTTTTTGACTACAATAACTTTTAAAAATACATTTGTACAGATGTGCTCTTAGAGAGTGTTGTAATCGAATTACGTTCATCTTTGAATTAAATATAAAATGTCATGTTATGGACTAATAATAAAATTGTACATTCTTTTTTTATCGTAAAATATATAATATAATATACTTTACATTCACTCACATAAATTGTTTAAATCACTATATGTTCTGACAAATAAAGGTTATGTAAAAGTACTATATGTGACTTCAGTGACAAGTTTATAAAGCCGACAATTATAAATTTTGGTTTATTTGCCGACCACTAGTAATAGTGGATCCTTGTATTACCGACTACTAATAATAGTAGATTCTTGCATTACCGACCAACTGGTAATAGTAGATTCTTGTAAGTTTTTTGGTAATAGTTGATTCCTGCTTTCCTAACGAGGGATTTCGAGGAGAACGGTGCACCGAACATATCTACA